AAGGTTTTCAGGTGATTCATCAATCAGGAGAACGCAAAGCGACGTCTCGGAGTTGCAGATGTACCTGAGTTACGACTTCACCAAAGGCATGGACGACGATGAGATAAACAGCCTCGACCTCCTTGCATGGTGGAAACAACAAAGCTCGAAGCATCCAACTTTGGCGGCAATGGCACGAGACATTCTTGCTATCCAAGTTTCCTCCGTCGCCTCCGAACGAGCTTTCAGCGCATCCGGAAGGGTTTTAGACGATAGAAGAACAAGTCTAAAACCCGAAACACTAGAAATGTGCGTGTGTTTCAAAGATTGGTTGGATGCGGAAAATCGCTCACAAGACCGTTCTTACGACCACAACGACAACGAAGAAGGAACCTCCGCTTCCGGTTCGGGTTCGGCTAGTTCCCAATCTATGCAACTAGCCGATGACCTTGAAGGCGAAGGCGAAGACGAAGACGAAGACGAGCAAGAAGAAGGAGAAGAAGAATAGACAATTATTGTATATTGTACGATTTTAAAAATATCAATTTTATCATTTTCCAATTTTTGTTTAATACCATCATTGTATGATTTTTATCATTGTTATCATTGTACAATTTTCTCAACTCAAGTAATAATAATATAAAGTACGCATTATTCACATCCAAAGTCCAATTTGCCTTTTTTCCCCGTTTTGTTACAATTTGTAAATTCATATTAAAAAAAATAAAATTATACCAATTATTAATAAATCATAAACATTAAATTTTAAAGTAATAGTATAAAGTAAATATATAAATATAAATATTGAATATACAAATTATAAAACATAAATATTCAACTTATAATTATAAAATTCATAACTTAATAACTTATAACTTATAAGTTATAAACTTATAAGTTACCTTATAAAACTTATAATTATAATTTTATAACTTATATACATTATAAACTTATTAATTTATAATGTTGTCATATATTAAAAAAAAAAAATAAAAATATTTGAAAACTGCACCAGCCCGCAGGCCGGCACGTGGCCGGCACGGCACGAGCCCGCCAGGCACGAGGGCCGTGCCGTGCCGTGGGCTGGCCTGTGAAAATGGCCGGCACGGCACGACACGAAATCCTGGGCCCGCCGGCACGACCGGCACGGCACGAACCAGCCCGTGGCCCGCCAGGCACGGCCCGCGGCGGCTCGGCCCGGCACGGTGCCCAGGATTACTGCCAATGATTGCTATTTTCTGTCTTTTCTTGCGGCCCCCGTCTGGGATCTCTTTCTCTTCTTGCCGCCTGCTTCTTGAACAGGCGCACTCTCCTTAACATTGTCAAGGTCTATTTTTCCACCACTCGACCCAGCGACCATAACAGTGGGCTTGACATCCGAGAGATAGCACTCTCGGGCCATCCTCTGATCTCCCCTTAGGGACCCGACTGTTCCATTATCCCTCTCAAACTTGAGCAACATAAGAGATGGGATTATAACAGCCTTGGAATTATTCAGGGTTGGTCGTCCCAGAATTATGTTGTAGGCCGAGAGTTCTTCTACTACCAGGAACCGGACTACCATGTGTCGTCCTTCCCCTTTTTCACCCAGGCGGATGGGTAAATCCACTCGTCCCACTGGGTGGACGACTCCTCCTCCAAACCCTACTAAAGGGTGGGATGCCGGATGTATGCATCAGTTTGATATTTTAGTTTCGACAGACATTTGCTACTGATGAGATCTGAGGAGCTTCCGGTATCTATGAGGATTCGGCCAACTCTCTGGTTGGCCACTTTACATTCAATAACGATAGGGTCGTCATGCGGCCCTCTTACCCCTCCTAGATCTTCTTCAGTGATGACAATCTCAGGAAATGGATATTTGGAGGGCCGTTCTTGGTGAACGGAATTTACATCTAGCCGTTGATATTGTCTTTGTTGCCCCTAATAGTGGGGCCGCCTCCTGAGAAGCCGCCTGCAATGGTGTAGACGACTGCATCATCTGTATCGGGGCTGTCGGCCTGTTGATTCTTTTTGGCCGACTGCTTTTTCGAGGAAGTGTTCCCCGTAGATTTCTTGACATAAGTGTCAAGATCACCTTGCTCAGCCAGGCGGTCCAGATACCGCATGAGACTGATGCATTCATTGGTGTGATGACCAACATCTTCATGATAATCACATAATTTTTCTTGGTTCCGGTTGTTTGCAGAACCCTTCATGGGGACCGGCTTCTCAATTGAGATCCGTCCCTTGATTTCCTTTAGGATAAATTGGCTATCCTTGTTAAACGCATACTTTGGGGAGTATGGTTTGAATTCTTTTTTCTTCTTCTGGGCCGGCTGTTTAGAGGAATCAGCCGCCCAAACCTCTTTTCTCTTCTCATCTTTGTTTGACGACTATTTCTGTCGTCCTTCTCTTTTGTCGGACCTTTTCCCGTCTGACTGTTTTACCGTACTACAAAGATCAGTCGCCTGTATATAGGCTTCCGCTTCAATCAAGGCCTCTTGAAGAGTCGCCACCCTCTTTCGGACCAAATCAAATTTGAAGGTCGACCCGTCTTTGAGACCTCTGAAAAAGTCAGTATAGGCTACTTCATCCGGTAACCCTTGAATCTGTATTCTCATCAGGTTAAACCGCCTGATGTAAGAACGAAGCCCCTCCTTCTCGCCCTGCTGAATCGTTCTTAAATCAAGGGTCGTCTTCTTCGCAGGGATGTTCATGGCGAAGTTGGAGGTGAATAAGTAAGCAAGCGTCCTGAAGTTATTTACACAACCAGTTGGCAGGTTGCCGAACCATTGTTGTGCTATTCCTTTGAGAGTCGCTGGGAAACACTTGCACCAAGTGGGATCATCCAACCCTTGAAGGTACATCAGGTTGGTGAATGCCATCAGATGGTCTTCTGGGTTAGTAGTGCCGTCATAGGCGCCTACTAATACATTTTTCACTTTGGCCGGCTGAGCGGCTTCAGTAATTTCCTTGGAGAAGGCCGACGGCTGTTCGCCAAGTCTAAGCAACCGTAGCTGCCAGTCCATAGGTTGGACATTTTTTGCTGCATGCCCACCAAACGGAGGTGGCTGCAAAAAATACTGTTGTTGCGGTACAAACGGTAAGTTTGGTACCGCCTGGTCGCTATGAAAGCCGGACTGACGGGAGGTGCCGCCTGACTGACTCTCATGATACGACTGAGTATGCCTCATCGAGGTATTGCGCAGACTGTCTTGGAATTTTGAAGTAGAGGCCGACTCTGACAATCGGTTACTCTTCTTCTGCTCTAGCAGTAGCCGAGCATCTGTGTATGTTTTCCTCGACCCGTCCGCCTGAATATGACGAACAGGTTTCCTCTTTCCTGGAGTAGGAAAACGGTATTTTGTGAAATCAAGGGCAGGCGGCTCCCACTTCCTAGATTTAGGATGAGGGGTCGCCTCTCGCCCTTGAACTGGCTTCCTCTTCCGTGAAGTGGAGGGTTTCTTAGCCGACTGCTCCTTGTCCAGAGCAGGCGGCTTCTTGTTGATCAACTCTTGAATTTCTCCCTTGAAGTCCCTCATGAAGGTCATGAGTTCGTTCGTTGTGATGGGAGCAGACTCATCAGTCGGCTGCTGCCGAACAGGCGGTGCGCCTGCTAGCTCACTTCCAGTTTGAAGATGTTCCCGTTCCCTCCTTTCGGTATGACGGGTACGTCGGGCCCTTAGGGTACCGTCTGAAGCTGTGTGAGCTTCAACTTCAAATTCATTCTCAGTATCGTGGTCCGACTGAACTAGAGAGTCGTCCAGGGGACGTCTCTCTTCAGGAGCCGGTACAAACGTGGATGCCATCTCAGAAGTACTCTCCCCACAGACGGCGCCAAAAATGTTTCAGGGTTTTCTGATGTCCTGCGGGAGAGTTACAATTCCGAGACTGGAACCGGACGCCTGTACCTGCAAAACAAATGGATGCTCCGGATGATTGGAGATCCGCCTCCGACGGTCAAGTTAGTACTTGATTAAGGAGTAATTAATGCGGAAATTAAAGTGATTGGGTCTCTCTAGGTGAGAGTGTTTAATGTGTGTAATCTGCGTCCTCCCCCTTAATGAGGATTAAGGGAGGTATTTATAACCTCGGGAAACGCGCCAACCCTAGGTTTAGGTTAACCTTGGGCTGATTGGGCTTCCCTCGGAAGTTGGGCCTAGGTGGCCGACTTCTCCATTAGGCATGGAGTATGCCACGTGTCATGACATAATAGGTCCAGGGTGGACGAATAAGCGTGTGCCACGTGGCAAGCCCTGAGAGGTCCAACTGGGGGACACTTGGCAGGACCTGATTGGCCCACGTGGCGCATTCCGATTGGTGGGAGCAAAATCCCCTAATCAGTTGTTATTATTATTATTGTTATTATTATTTTTATTATTATTGTTGTTGTTGTTGTTGTTGTTGTCGTCGTCGTTGTAATAAGAGGTTAAAAGAATGAAATTTGGCTTTATATCATTAGTAATATCATTAGACATAAATTAAAAGCTGAACTGAACTGAACTGAACTGAATTGAGATGAACTGAACTGAGCTGAACTGAGGGCCTGTTCATATTTACTTATTTTCAGTTCAGTTCAGTTCAGTTCAGCTCTTAATTTTCCTCTCTCATAAAATATTCATTTCAGCTTAGTTCAGTTCAGTTCAGTTCAGTTCCAATCAATTCAGTTCAGTTCAGTTCAGTTTAGCTCCAATCAGTTCAGTTCGGTTCAGTTCAGTTCAGCTCAGTTCAGTAAATATGAACAGGCCCTGAATTGAACTGAATTTCAACGGAAGAGAACAGACCCTTAGACCTTACCATTTTGAACTTAATTTTCATTTAAACGAGCTCGATTCAAGTTCTTTTTATATCAACTTCATTCAATCGAGTTTGATTCAAGTTTTATTCACTTCGACCCGATTCATAATCATTTTATATTCTCAAAGAGGAGTAGCAAGTACCAAGGGACCCACTTTAAAATACTTGTATCATTTATGAGAATTGATTCATTGAGAAGTGAAGGGTATAAAAGGCCTTTGCCCTAAATAATTCATCTTTCTCTAGTCTCCCTCTAATTTTCTCTCACTCCACTCAACACCCAAACAGAGAGAAAATACCATGGGAAGCTCATATGTTAATGGCGGCGGAGAGCGGGGACTCGACGGCGCTGGCCCAGGATCGGTCGACAAGGGTGTAGATTACGCCAATTACTTCTGCACTTACTCTTTCTTGTACCACCAGAAAGAAATGCTTTCTGATCGTGTTCGAATGGATGCTTATTATAACTCCATTTCCCAGAACAAACACCATTTTATTGGCAAGGTTTACCCCTTTTCTCTCTTTCTAATTTTATGTCTTTATGAAAAAGTATTTCAATTTATTCTTGTAATTTTTGGTTTTTTTTTTTGGGGTATTTTCTGGGGTTTCTGGAATCATCAAGTTTATGCATATTTATTGGTTTTTGGGTTTAAAAAAAAAGTTTTTGTGTAAAAGGGTATGTTGGATTTTGTGTATTTTTATGCCATTTTTGTGGATTGGGAGCTGCTTGTCGGAGCACATTGTGTGAATGATTTCTGCTGTAATTTTTACAAAATTACATGTGCGGAATATTGTTGTTGGAATATCCTGGAATAAGTTGTTATCTTTCCTGTAATAGTTAGGTTTTTATGATTGGGTTTTCGGAGACAATGGTCGACTTTGAATGAGTGATGGTGAGAGTGTAAAGACTTTGTTAAAGGGAATGCATGCCATATTCTTAACTATGAGGAGTTGGAGCAAGATGATGGTTATTTCTGAATGGAGAGTTTGAGATTTCAGTGAGTGACTAAATGTATCTGGTATAATGAATAAATTAGTGATTGAAGTTTGATAGTGGTCTGATTTGTGTTATCATTTTTTGTTTGTGTGGAAAAAGACTGTGTTGGATGTAGGAACTGGTAGTGGTATCCTTGCAATTTGGTCTGCACAAGCGGGTGCACGGAAGGTCTATGCAGTGGAAGCTACAAAGATGTCTGAGCATGCTCGACTGCTTGTTAAAGCAAATGGCCTTGAGGACATTGTTGAAGTCATTGAGGGTTCTATGGAAGATGTTACTCTTCCGGAAAAAGGTTTTTACTTCTTGTCCTTTTGAAGTTTTTTACACTTTCAGCTTTGATCGGTGAAATTAAGTACCTAATGATGCTACTGGATGAACAGTTGATGTAATTATATCAGAGTGGATGGGATACTTTTTGCTTCGTGAGTCCATGTTTGATTCTGTGATCTGTGCACGGGATCGATGGCTGAAGCCGACTGGAGTTATGTAAGTCATATTAAGTCTGTGGCTTTTTCTTGCTGATTTCAATCTTTACTGATGTATGTTCTGGTAATGGAAGCTCCTTCCTCAATTATTGTTTGTAGAGATTTTTAAGGGGCTGGCTTTATTAACTGCAATTACAGTGAAATATTAAGGCCCTAAGATTAAAATCCTTGTAATTCCGTAGAACAGTAGAAGTGATAGCAGGTGGTTTGAGGTTTGGATTTTGACGTATTTACTCTTATTATTTGAACATGAAACAAAATGCTTTTGGAGTGGTCACTTTTGTTCCTTTAAGATTATAAAGAGGGGTTGTGGGGCTTAAAACTGGGATGTCCTGCCATGGCTGTGAAACCCTGCTGGATAGGCTTAGGGCATATTTTTAAATTTTAATACCCTTCCCTCAGTTTGTATAGGGATACTATATGACTTGTTATGCTGTGAACTCCAAAGAAGGTTACGAGCTACCCATGAGAGCCACACCGGACTCTAGAATTTATTAGTTTGTTGAATGTATGTCTGGTGTTTTTTGTCAAGGAATTATTTAGTTGAAGATCCACCTTGAACACTTTTGTGTAAGGGTTCATCAGCGATGCTATATTGTTTTGGTAATATATTAATGTGAAGTAGAATTTTGTTGTAAGTTTTGGTTATCACTTATCAGTCATATCACAGTTGCTACTATTGAGCTGTTTGCTAAATCTAATCTTCATTCTCAATGGCTCTGAACTGAATCAAAGAACATATAGTTAGGGATGGCATTTATAGTTGCTTTTCCCATTAACAGATCAACATGTACACTCCGAACAAGTTAAGAGGTTGAAATTGTAAATGAAAAATTCTAGTTGATGTGGAAGTGGAATTGCTTAGGTGATGACAATTCATTATTGGGGATGCATAGCCTTTGTAAAAATTATGGTGAAGGAAGCAATCAGGCTAGTGATTGTTAATTCATATAGACTTGAAGTTGCTTGATAGCATTTTACTTGAGATGAGCTGCTGCAAATTCAGTAGTATATTAGAGTGAAGACTTATGATCGATGGTTAGACCTTAGGGAAGTTTATCAAAGTCTGGTGATTGTATTAATCTGGTGACTGTATTTGGAGTTGGCCCAAAGTTTAAAATGCCTATGTGAAGTTATAGATGAGCTGGTATCATGACAATCATCAATGGTCTAACACTCTACCCAAGCATCACCTAAGCTTTTAGCCAATTGGTGATTTTGAAGTTAGTTGCTTTGATTTCCAAAATAATTGTTTTTGGCAGTATGTCTTGTGAGAATTAAGCGACAGTTATTTTCTTTTTGACGGCTTAATTCTAGGACTAACACTTGCCCATGGAAAAGGATATATATATAGTAGTATAACTAAATTTGGTAGACTCCAAAGAGGCCATTTTCTCATGCTTCAAAATCACATTGTTATGCATTTAACAGTATTGTTGAGATGCCTCTCCTCTTATAGATTGTCTCTATTCACACTTGTGTCATGAAATTTAGCATAACACCCTAATGTTTAATAATTGGAGGGAATCGGGTATTGCAGGTATCCAAGTCATGCACGCATATGGTTGGCTCCTATAAAATCTCACTTGATAGATCAGAAAAGGGATCACTATGATGGAACTATGGAAGAATGGCATGGTTTTATTGATGACACTAGGAACTCCTATGGTGTTGATATGAGTATTCTCACAGAGCCTTTTACTGATGAGCAGAAGAAATACTACCTACAGGTCAGCGGTCATTTGTTTTTCTTAAGCATTGAAAAAAAAAAATTATGATGTTTTTCTTCTTGAGTAGATTTGGAATTTTGTTCTCTTCATGCTCAGTTTACCATTTCGTCTATGGGTCCAAATCTCATATTTATAAACTGAGCTAAAATTTACATCTTTGTACAAGTGTGTTCAGAAAATAAGAGTTTTTTTTTTTTTTTTTTAAAAAAAGGTCATTGAGAATAATGCTGCATTGTCCCCCTGACAACCACTTTTTTGGTGTCTGAATGTGAGCATTTGTGCATGTGTGCTGCAGGTTTATCTGCAATGTAATGTGCATGAATGACATATGTTTGCTTGAATGTTTATAGCTTTATTTAAGGTTACTTCTTCTTAGCACTGGTGAAAATATTCAACAAAAATACATATAATAAGTAATTAATTGTTGAAGATGCATTCTTTGTATATTGATATTGATTGTATGTGATGAGACATGTATCGCCTAATTACATACAGATGTTGCTTCTCAAATTACCCTTGTGAAATGAACTGGCAATTTAAGTAGTTATAAGTTATGCAAGTGAATGATGTCTTTTACTCCAGTTCTAAGTATTTTCCTTTTTATCAAATACATTAGCTTTTATTATATCTTTTATTGAGCTTGGCCATTATAATTTCAGACTTCATTGTGGAACAACCTTCGTCCTGAACAAGTCATCGGAACAGCTTCCATCATCAAGGAGATGGATTGTTTAACTGCTACGGTTGAAGATATCCTTGTTATCAAAACTCAATTTTTCTCATCAATCTTGGAGGAGGATACAAAGTTCTCTGGATTTGGAGGCTGGTTTGATGTTCATTTCCGAGTAAGTAGAATTTCATTATGTCCAAAGCACGCTTGATATTTGTAAAAAAATCATTGATTATATATTTTTTACACGTATTATTTTGTTATCTCAGGGAAGAAGTGAAAGTCCTGCTACAACTGAGATTGAGTTGTCAACTGCCCCAAGTATTGAAAATGGCACACATTGGGGTCAGCAAGTAAGTACTGCAGCAAGCAAAGATATAGCATGTTTGAATTTTGTTTATTCTTAAATTAGTTGGAACTTAGAAGAAAAGCATATTTTAGACTCTAGACAGTGATTACTCCTTGATTTAATCTGTCTTCATATGAATCTAGTAGGTTTATTTTTATTGATTATGGCCATTTTTTAGTTGTGTTGACTTTTGATGAATACTTCCGGGGATGAATATACACTTGCGTATGAAAATCTATAGTTACCTTTTCATTGAAAAGAAAGAAGAGCATTATGTTTGTTCTTTTGGATGCGTTATTCTTGTTGCCAAAGGGCACTCTCTGCCATTATCGACTACCTGACATATTTGTCTGGTTTTCATTTGAAATTAAGAGAATAAGTTTTACTTATGGGGCCATTGCTGGGGAGTTTATTGTATATGAATATATGATCCTCCCTATCCCAAGATAATTGCGTCTTTAATTAGGAATTTTTTTTGATGGGAGGATTATATATAGAATTGTTTCATACTTTCATTGGTTAATGAACATAATTGCTTCTCATGGTGTGCTTGATACTAAATTATGTCATTGCTAGTTTGCAACTGTTGTGATATTTTTTTATGGCTCTATATCTCAGGTCTTCCTCTTAAATTCTCCCATTCGATGTAGTAAAGGAGATAATATGAATGTTTCTTTTGTGATGAACCGTGCTAAAGATAACCATCGACTGTTAGAAGCTGAATTTGGGTGTGAGTTCAAACTGGCGTCTGGCCAGCCACTCCAGCCGTTCAGGAAGAAGTTCTTCATTGAGTGAGAAGTGAAACGGATGAAGCATTCTTCTTAGGATTCTTACAAAAGGTAATTTTGGTATGATTTCCGCATTTTAGCTTTCCTTGATTTAGAAATTTTAGATGTGTAACACGGCTGCTAGTACTTGGTATAAATGTTGTCAGACTCAGTGACATAGCCTGCCTTCCTCCCTCCCTGTGGATGGGTATGAAGAAAAAAGACAATGTTGTGCTTGTTACTTGTTTTATAAGGTCGAAAGAAGATAACTAGCCATTTACTTGTCTATAACTTTGTGGTCCTAGTTTATTAAACAAGCACAACGCCACAACATTGTTTTTTTTAGCTAATAATCTATTTTAAAATGGACATATATATTTTTTTTCAAAGTAGTATCGCTATTATGTTTTTTTTTCCCCCTAATGTCTTCCATCTTTTTCCAGTGCTGCTATGACTCAGAAGACATCAAGCAGAAGTCTGATACTTCTCAGGATATGGTGAATTCTATTGGGAAGTTGTGGCCTTTCGTTAAAGCCTGAGAGGTAGTTAATCTTTAAATTCTCAAGCTTTTCTGCTGGTTTATTGGATATACAAATGTCAGCAATTATCGTGTTAAACTGAATGACTACAAGGATCCTAAATTGGGTATGACAAAAATGGTTTGAGTTCATCTGTATTGGCTAAAACAGAGCTCACAGCGAGGCAAATATAATTTTTGAAGTTGAATGATGTAATGCATAGTAGTAGAAATATTGATGAAATGATGAGTAATTTTATATGTTAGTAATTTAGTATCTTTTAAAATTTTCTTGATTGTCTATCCTTTGGCACTCTGGGATCTTTACAATTCCATGGATCATATTACTATCAAATGCTAAAGTTTTTAGTATTATGATTGTAAAATGTTCCAAGAGAATACTCTCTTTTTATAATTTTATTCCCACTTTACATTTTTTTTTTTTAAAAAAAAATCTATTTTTTTTTTCAATCTACCTAAAAATCTTGGAGACGAAGAAGAAAAGTGTGAAAAACAAATGAAAGGTAGAGGGAATATAAGTGTACAAGTTTTGAATCATTTGTTGTTTCTGAAAAATAGTGTTATAATAGAATGCGAGAGATTGTTATATACACCTGGTGCACGGTGTACCCAATGATATTGTTTGGTCATTTTGATGATTATTATTATTGTTTGGTCATTTTGATGATTATTGCTCATTTAATCATCAAATGAGCAAAAATTACCCTTTGGTGCACCATGCACATATGGTTGGCGACTTGGCGTGGTGAAAGACGTATTATAGTGGTTGTCAACTAATTTAGGGTATGTTCTTTTCAGCTTTATTTCAGTTCAGCTCAGTTCATACTCTAATTTCCTTCTCTTATAAATTATTTTAGCTCAACTTAGTTCAGTAATCAGGCCCTTAGTTGATTAGAATTCAGTTATTTTTTTATATTATTACTCTTTTGTGGTTTCTTACACCACGTAATACAGTAGGGGAATAAATCGGAGATGTTTAATTGTGGATTTATACAAAGTTTCATATGTGGCTGGCCACACCGTGTGGCCGGTCACAATTTTTTATTTTTATTTTTTTAAATTCTTTTTCTCTCTCCTCTCTCTCCTCTTTCTCTCTCCTCTTTTCTTCTTTTTCAAGCCAGAACCTTCACATTTCCCCAGAGAACGTAACACAAATTTTGCAATCATCGTCTTCATGGTTCGTTAATCGGTGGTTCATTTGTCGGAAATAGTGGTTTCGCTGGGAGGGTAGTGGTGGTTTGGTGACTCCGTCGCCGGAAAACAAGTTCAAGGTTTTTAAGGCTAAATTCAGTCATGAAAACTCTAGATCTAGAATTTTCATGGTCGAATTTGACCTTTTTAGCCATATTTGAAGTGATATTCGAAATCATTGCTAACATTTTAAGGTATTTGTTTGATTTGATTTTTTTTAATGGTTAAGTTGGATCGGGGTTTGTTTGTGGGTTAGGGGCTAGTGGCAAGGCGTTTAGGTTGGTAGTGGTTCATTAGTGGTGGTAGTTTTTTGTTGGTGGTGGGTAAGGGGTTACTAGATCCGGTCAGGGGTTACTAGGTGGTTCGGTTAGGGGTTACTAGGTCGGCGGTCAGGGGTTATTAGGTCGGGGTTTACTAGGTCGGTTAGGGGTTACTTCAGGTTACTAGGTTGACAGTCAGAGGTTACTTGGGGTTACTAGGTCGGTTAGGGGTTACTTGGGGTTACTAGGTTGGGGGTTATTATGTCCGTGAGGGGTTACTTGGGGTTACCAGGTCGGGGGTTACTAGGTCGATTAGAGGTTACTTGGGGTTACTAGGTCAGGGGTTACTACGTCAGTCAAGGGTTACTTTTGTCTTGGGGTTAATTTGTCATTTGCTGATTTGGTAACCTGCCGCATGGTGCGGCCAGCCGCACCAGAAACCCACTCGTGGATTTATTAAAGAATTGAAGAGCATGGGGCTTGAGAGAGGGGGATTTGTTTGATTTTGCTGTTGAGGCAAATCTTTAAAAACTGCTCTGCAACTAACTGAATTAATATATTAATCAACTTTTTTTTTTAGGGGCGAATAGTCAAATATATGAGGTTAACGAGAAAATAAAAGTTTATTATTTTGATAAACATATTTTAAGTGGCAATATCGTATTAAAAAAAAGCCCCGTGGGCCACGATTGTTGATATAAATATGAAAAATGTATGATGACGGGGTATATTTGTTAATTTATTTACGATTTTAACTGGGACTTCTTCATTAAACAACTAGTTATTTTTTAAACTGCTATCTAAAGAAAACAATTTAGTATGAACCAAACGATATGCACGACCTTAAAATAAAATAACACAATACGAGAGGCGCGTGCATTTATTTACTCAAGACTTTATTACATCTGCACATGTAATCCTAATTATAAGTCAAATATATATATAATACCTTTGTTTCATGTTATTTATAATAATTAGACATTTTTTCTATTTATTTTATGTCAAATCATTGCAAATAATATGAAACAGGGTAGTATATTGCATTATTACTATATACTACTAGTATTAATGGTACATAAAAGTTTATTGAGATGACATTATTTATGCAAAGCTACATGTAACTGATGTAAGAAGGTAAAATTACAAAGAGCAAATATTACGTTTAATAAAACATCAACACCGCCAATTGGGAAATACATATAGTCCATACGTGTCTTATCCTAAATTCAAAACCGTTTAATAATAATAACTCTTCTAAATAAATTGTTCAATGGTTCTGCTTTTAGCTTCTTATAGTAAACCCTTTTACAACGTCCTTAATATAAAATGAAGTATTTTAATCAATGTGATGATTATTAAATTAAATCGATAATTCATTATCCATCATGTATAGATGATCTAACAGCATATGCCTGCTGGTACAACTTACTGTCTCAATAATTTATAATTTATGTTTTTAATATTAATCAATGAAATTTGTCTTCCCTTCATATATATATATATATATAACCACTATATATATACTTCATTCATTCTTGCAAACTTCATCCATCCAAATTAACAATATAACTTCCAATTAATCCAAAAATGAAAATGAGTCAGATTCAAGTTATGACAAAGTGTGTGGTGTTCATAACCATGGTTATGCTTCTGATGGCCTTGGCAGTCTCAGCTGCCCGACCTCTTGCGAATGAACACGCAAAACACCTCAGTGTAACCGGAAGGTTAGGGGCTCACGTAGGCGGCGGGTTTAGCTGGAGTCGTTGGGATATCGGTTTACATGTGTGAGGGGTTCCGGTCCGGTGGGTCTTTAATTTGATCCCTAATATCCTCTTATTATTTCAAAGCATGCATGTATTGTATCATGCATGTATGTGTAATGTATTTTCTAATATTTACTAATAACAAACGTATTTATTATTACAAATTTCTGTATTGTGTTCATTACATGTTTAGTCGGCTTTAATTTAATTTGAACCCTCTAGTTACTAGTTAGTACGTTTCTTGTCAAGTTGTCAAAATGTATGGCTTGTCTTCATTACGTTATTTAGTCATAAAAGATACTTTGTTGCAACATTGTTTTTGTAGGGTTATAAGAAAGATATTGAATAGTAAGAGCCAGTTATCAAAATCTTATTGAGTAAAGACTGTTATCGTAATGAAAATGGAAAGCACGTATATATGAAAATTAATATTTCGTTTGCCCACAAATATGTGCAACAAAGGAATATTTTATATCTCACAAATGATACCCTTTCCTAATTGTATTTATCACAGATCAAGTTTTTGGTCAGTGACTCATTATGTGTTCATTTCATTATCGTCCATAATAAAAAAAAAAAAAAATTTAAACTTTGAAATATTCAACTCCCTCTCTCTATCTCTTTTTGTTATTGCTATTTCAGTATTTTGATTTTTCATCTCAAATAAGAAAAAACTTTTACCAAAAATTTTCATTAGTAAATACTTGTATAAAAAAATAAAGTCTTGCCTATATTATACATACTATTTTTCTATAAGACCCTAAATAATTTGATGTAAAACATTTTCGAATGAAAAATTAGTTTTCATATAAAACATACTTACTCCGTTTCTATTTAGACACATATATTAAGGAGAGGAGACAAAGTGAGAGAAAATGAAAAAGCAAGTGGGGTAGCTTGTAAATACAAGGTAAAAAATTTACCTCAAAAAGAAACGTGTCAACTAAAAACACTTCCTAAAAAGAAATATGTGTCATGTCAACTAAAAAGAAATGGAGGTAGTAAATTAGTTTTCCTTATTTATTTGGATTCCATATTGGAGAACGAATTATAGAGAAATTAAAAAAATATTTTTCATAAAAAAATATTACCCTATAACTGGTCTGCCACTAATATGAGGAATATTCTAAGTGGAGTGAAGTATTTAATACTACATACATGCATAATGATAATGAATTTTCAAAGCATTATCATTTATTTATCATGTCGATTAAATTATTTGTGTATGAAAAAAAATATTTTTTATATTCTACCGAAAACCACTATATAAGTTAATCTTTCAAAACTCAATCGATCAGTATCTATTTCCAATACATACATCAAGAAATATATACATATATTGATATATACGACGTATACTGTATACGATGAGTCAAACGACGCAGCTAACGAAGTTAGCGGTGTTCATAGCCATGGCTATACTTGTCATGGCCCCCGTCGGAGAATCGATACTTGAGTTGGTGACTAGCCTTCTTGGAGGCCTTCTTGGTGGTGGTGGTGGAGGCGGCAAAGGTGAGCCTAAGGGAGGGGTTGGTGGGCAAGTTCCTTGAGGGCTTACTGAAATTGCTTCTTGGTCTTTGGAGGATAAACCCCTTAAGAATGGGTTTTTACCATACTATATTGTACTTTGTATACGTATTAATTAATAAAAGAATTATGGGATTTCACCAATTCATACTATTCTCTGAATACTTTTATTTTCTCTGTACTCTTTATATGCAACACTTTGACTTTTAAATCATTCATATACTACTATATTTTGATTAGCTTTCGTTAGTTTCGTCTTGGTTTGTTTATATTTTGAATTTTAACACCACAAAAAAAGAAAAAAAAAAAATGGTTTTTAACAAAAAAAAAAAAAAAAAAAAATAAAAATTTAACACCACAATTTTTTTTTTAAATATATGATTTTACCACCACTTAACAATTGCCGTCCAAAAATCCAATAAGTGGGATCCATTGTGCCATGTGTCATCTTATTATTATTTAGAAAAAAGAAAGAAAAATAATAATAATAAAAAAAAAAACAAAACCAAAACCGTAAACTAACCCAGCCAACGCCATCC